CTCTCTCTCTCTCTCTCTCTCTCTCTCCCTCCCTCCCTCCCCCCCTCTCTCTCTCTCACACACTCTCTCACACACACACACACCACACGTGTGCACACATATCTAGAGACAAGGGAGAGTTGAATGTGGTGAGCAATATGACATTCAGGGTGCAAAATATCTGGATGAGGTCTCCTGAGCTAAGAATAAAGATTTATTTAGTTTAATATGTCTTTGATTCCACACCACACTCTTTTTCCATTTTGTTTTGTTTTAAATGAAAAGTTTTTGCACCCCAATAAACCTGTCTTCAGATTCTCTCCCCTTTCCAGACAGTAGATGCCAATACTCGAGCTTACCAAGAATTATTTAACAAACACAAAAGTATGCCTATCACCCAGGGAACCTTAGGAAACTGGGGGGAACAGGAGCTGGGGAACAAGGTCAAATGTTAGAACAGAACCTCCTTACATGCCATCACTCACGAAGAACTGAAACTTGATATTGATACCAGCAGCTAAGGATGAAGAATGTATGTATCTTGTTATAGCACAGTACCCTAGTCATCCCACTCTTTTTAAAAACAGGAACTTCCTATGAAGGTAGGCGGAAGATCTGTGCTGGAAGCTTCCCACTCCTCCTCCAGCAGGTCTGCCCTTTTATCTCATTGGCCAGGGACTTAGGAGACTACTGTGATAGCTGTGAATTCACCCCTGAGGTTGGACATAAAGTCACAACTCTTTACAACAGGGGTGGGGGTGGGTAGGACCCTTATTCCCTGCCAGGAGGGAAAGGAGAGCATCATAAAGCTACTGGCCAGCTGGGCGGTAGAGGCAGGCGGATCTCTGTGAGTTCGAGGCCAGCCTGGTCTACAAGAGCTAGTTCCAGGACAGGCACCAAAGCTACAGAGAAACCCTGTCTTGAAAAACCAAAAAGAAAAAAAGCTACTGGCCAGCATCGTCGTTTGGATATGAAGTGTCTGCAGGCTCATCTGTTGAATGCTTGGCTCCAAGCTGCAGTTGCTATCTTGGGAGGTTCTAGAAGCAAGAAGTAGATCACTGAGGAGTGTGGCTTTGAAGGTTATGCCTGGTCCCGACTCCCCTCACCGTCTTCTGATGAGTAAAAGAGCCTCCTCTGCCACATGTGCCCACTGCCATGATGTTCTGTCCAGTGCTTGGGACTGAGCCACCATGAACTGGCCCCTCTGAAACAAAGTGAGCAGAACCAAATCTTCCCTTGGGATAGGTTGTTTTATTTTGGTCACTGTTATGCAAAAGTAACGAGTAGAGTCAGACAGCCACCAGGATCTGCTACAGTCAGATAACACAGACTCAGCGATGAAGAGAAAGGGACACGGGACACCATAGGCCATCTTACGGAGCAGGAAAACGAAAACTCCCAAATGTATTTTGCTTCTGGCACAATTCCCACTGTGCTCCCGCTGCCTTTCTTTTTACCTCAATTAGCAATCAGTAATGCTGCAAGTTGGACTTTTGCTGAAACCAAGGAAGAGATAGAGAAAGAGTAGCTGATTGCTTAGCTCTTGCACGATGGATAAATCGCTGTCAGTCTGGACACTGTGACAAGAAATGGGACAAACAGAAAAGTGAGTAGAATAAAGAAGGATCAGATTGTGCCAAGGGCCAGCTGTGACCCTAGTGAGTCATAACAGCCATGGTAGCCGGGGCAGTTTGACAAAGCAGTTGACTTACCACCAGCAGGTAAACAGGGCAGCAAAAGAGGTGGCAAGAAAAGGGGCATTCGAAGGGGCTAAGACTGGCAAAGGTGTGCAGGTGCACAGCAAGAAGGCAGTGATCAGTTATTATCTTCCTTTGCCAGATTGAATGTGTCCTTTAGAGGAGGAGACAGAAAACACAACAAGCAGCAGAGAAAGCTCAAGCCCATGGCTGTTGGCAATGTGAACGCACGAGCTCAAGAGGAGGTTGCCCTGGAGATGTGCTCGGCATTCTCAGAATCTGGGTGGGAAAGCTGCCCTGGATAATGGATGAAATCATCCGGCTAAACAACAGGTACAGGTTAGGAAAAAGTGCCTGTGTACCCCAGCAATAAGAAGCAAATGAGGCAAAATACCAAACAAAAAAGCATGTGAAAGGCAGGAAAGGACTTGAGATGTGTGGGGGGTGGGGAAAGAAAGAACATGCAATAACATTTTTCCTATTATTGAAAATAGATTCCTTTCACAAAATATATCCTGATTACAGATTTTCCTCCCAGTTCCTACCGCCCCGCTCCCCCTAAATCTGGATCCATTCCCTTTCTGTATCTCATTAGAAAATAACAGGCTTCTAAGAGACAATAGAATATATCAAAATAAATAAAATAAGGTAAAACAAAACCTAACACATCCAAGTTGGACCTGGACAAATCAACAGAAGGAAAACAGCCCAAGAGAAGGCACCAGAATTAGAGACCACCTCATTCCTATACTCAGGAATCCCATAAAAACACCAACTAAACTGAAAAAAACATACTATGTACATAGAGGACCTGATGCAGACCCAGACAGGCCCTGTGTATGCTGACTCAGTATCTTTGTGTTCATATGAGCTTTGCTCATGTTGATTTAGAGGGCATTGTTCTCTTGCTGGCCTCTACCCAACTCTCTCATACACTCTGCCTCTCTTCCATGGGGTTCCCTGAGCTCTGAGAGTAGAGATTTGATGGAGACATCCCATTTAGGACTGGGTGTTCCAATGTCTCTCTCTCTCTGTGTCACGTCTGGCTGTGGGTCTCTATGTTTGTTCCATCTGCTGCAGGCGGAAGCGCATCTGACGCTAGCTGAGCAAGGCACTGACCTATGAGTCTAGCAGAATATTAGTGGGGCGTTTTATCACTATGTCTCTTTTTTCTTTAAGACCAGGAATATTAGGTTTCACCCTAAGTCTCTAGGATATCTACTATCCCATTCTTGGTTACCCAAGCAGTGCTGGTTATGGGTCCATTTTGTGGCGTGGGCCTTAAGTCAAGAGTGACTGGTTACTCGCACAGCTTTGTGCCACCATTGCCCTAGCATGTCTTGCAGGCAGGACACCATCGTAGATCAGAAGGTTTATGGTTGGCTTGGTGTTTACATTTCTCTTTTGGTAGCATACAGAGCACCTTCCTGTACCAAAGATGCTAGAACACAAGAGTGAAGGCTCTATGTAGGTACCAGCTCAACTTCTCCATGTTCAGTGAGTTCTGTAAGTGTTGTCTCCATCAGCTGGCCTTGTCAGTATGGAGAGGGCAACCTAGTGTCTTTGCAACAGCCTGGGCTGTTTGGGGATTCCCATAGGACTCCTTTGGCCAACAACTCAATTAGATGTAACACGGTCCTGGTGCGGGAAGCTTTGTTTGGTATCCAAAGATAGCTAGTTGGGACTCTGTCTCCCAAATATCATTTAGGTCACCTTTAAATTTGTATATATTTTAGGAAGCTTCTAGTATACTAGGTTTCCATAACATCTTTCAAATGCTTCTCACTTATTTTTTTTTTTTTTTTTNTCCTGTCCTGGAACTAGCTCTTGTAGACCAGGCTGGCCTCTAACTCACAGAGATCCGCCTGCCTCTGCCTCCCGAGTGCTGGGATTAAAGGCGTGCACCACCACCGCCCGGCTATGCTTCTCACTTTTAACTATCTCTCCCTGTATTCCTTCTTTCAACTTTCTTTCCTCTCCCGCTCCTGACTTGATCTGCCTCTTCTAGTCCCCTCATCCATTAATAATTGTCTATTCTATTTCCCATTCCTAACAAGATCTATCTATACCCTCTAGTCCCTTACTCTGTATCTACGCTCTGTGGTTCTAGAGATTGTAACTTGATTATTAGTGACTTAACAGCTAATGTCCCTATATAAGTGACTACATACCATATTTATCTTTCTCACTCAGGATGAATTTCTTTTCTAGTTTCACCTGCCTGAAAATTTCATGATGTCATTTTTTAAACATCATTTTTAAACATCTGAGTAATACTCCATTTTTTTTATCCGTTCTTCTGTTGAATGACATCTAGGTTGTTTCCAATTTCAGGCTATTGCAATAATATTTTTGAAGAGCAGAGTAAAGGCTTTGCGTGGTGATAAACAGCTATAACACCAGCTTGGAAAGGCTGCGGAAGGAGAACTGCCAAGAACTCAAGGCTAGCCTGGGATTCATGGTGAGTTCTAGGCTAGGCTTGGCTACATAGCATGAGTGCCTGTATCAGAAAAAAAAATAGAAAGAAAGGCATAAATGGAGGAAAAGAGAATTTCTAGAAACCCATGACCCTAAGTCTCAAAGGTCACGGAGATTGTGATAAAGTATCGTGGGAACTAATGTTTCTAGGGTGAATGGGAAAAGGTCTTTGCCAATTACACTTCAGACTAGGGTGAATGTGTAGACTAAAGAACCGGAAGAACCCAACACTGTAAAAGCAAAACTGCCAGTGAATGAGAGGGCCAAGGAACTGAACATGCAAATTGCCAATAAATACTTAAAAGTGTTCAAAAGCTTCAGCCATCAGGATAATGCAAATTGATATTTCTTTGAGATTGCATCCCAACCCAGTTAGAATGGCCATCATCAAGAAAAAGAATGGCAATTAATGTTGATGAGAATGTAGGCAAAAAGAAACATTTAGCCGGGCGTTGGTGGCGCCAGCCTTTAATCCCAGCACTCGGGAGGCAGAGGCAGGCAGATCTCTGTGAGTTCGAGACAGCCTGGTCTACAGAGCTAGTTCCAGGACAGGCTCCAAAGCCACAGAGAAACCCTGTCTCGAACCCCCCCCCCCCAAAAAAAAAGAAACATTTGTTTGGGAGATTGTAGATTGGCTTAGTGACCATGGAAGTCAATGTGGAAGCTTCTTAAAAACAAACAAAAAAAAATAGACTGCTGCGCGGTGGTGGCGCATGCCTTTAATCCCAGCACTCGGGAGGCAGAGGCAGGCGGATCTCTGTAAATTCGAGACTAGCCTGGTCTATAAGAGCTAGTTCCAGGACAGGCTCCAAAACCACAGTGAAACCCTGTCTCGAAAAACCAAAAAAAAAAAAAAAATAGAACTACCATATGATACAGATAGATTATTTTTGAATAAATACCACAAGGACCCTATATCATACCACAGAGAAACTTGCAGATGCTCATGGCTTTTCTAGTCATAGCATCACTGAATTGGGATCATCCTAGCTGTTGAACAGACAGATGACTAATGAAACTTCGGTACATTTACACAGTGGAATTCTATTCAGCCTCAGCAAAAGGTATCTGGACATTACTAAGTGAGGTAACTCAGAGTCAGGAAGATGAATTCTGTATGTCTTCTGTCATGGACACATCTTAGATTTTAATGTTCACATATCTGTGGGTGCCACTGTGGGCATAGTCTGAAATTAGAAAAAAGGCCATGAGACAGGAAAGAGATTTATTGAGGGACGGGAGTCGTGGAACACAGGTGACCTGAAAACAGGAGTTAGCAGAAGTACAGGGAGGTAGGAGGTGGGGAGAAAAGTGAGGGAGGAGGATGTTTGAAAACGCCCTAATGAAAACTAACACCTTATATACTAATGGAAACAAACAACAACAAAAGTAAACAGGAAAAGAAACAGCTCTGAATTCATCCTTGCGACTATGTCTAAATAATTATACTTTATGTACGTTTCTAAAACATTTATTTAGACTTAATCTTTATGAGTTAGAGGATAATATTTAAATCCTTATAATATTTAATATAATATAATATTTAAATACAAGCAGAAGACTATCATATGGGTTATCTTTTATTTCAGATGAGCTCATTGCTGCCTTGTATACCTGTGAATATAAAATAGACACTGCACCTTTGGAGGTAGGTTTTGTTTTGCACTATATTCTTAGGCACTAAATACACGAGGCCGAGATGAATAACCTCCCAATAGCCTAGAGTTCAGCGAAGGAGAAAATAATTATACACAAGCAAAGTTTGAAGGTAATTGGACACCATAATCTCATACGGAGTAGCATAAGAGGCATTAATTTGCTGGAGTGGCCATAGCCTTATTGGAGGAGGCGTGTCCCTGTGGGGGTGAGCTTTGAGATTTCCTATGCTCAAGATACTGCCCAGTGTCTCAGTTGACTTCCCATTGCCCACAAGATGTAGGACTCTCGGCGAGCATCTGCCTGCACACCGCCATGCTTTCACCATGATGATCATGAAAGGAACTTCTGAAACCGTGAGCAAGCGAGGCCCCTCAAATACATGTTTTCCTTAGAAGCGTTGCCATGATCATGGTTTCTCTTTGCTGAAATGAAAAGCCTAAGACACAAGGCCAATGCCAAGCGCTGAAAGGGAAGTAATAGAAGTAGAAAAGACAAAGGGACAAACAAGCACAAAAAGCAAACCCTGTGGAGAGAGTTAACTACTGATCATCACCAATCCACATGTTTTCTTAATCAAATCTTCTAAACTTTCATGGAGGTACATTGCCCTCTTTTCCTAATGGAACGTGAGAAAGTTACAGCTAAGAGAGTTTAATTTACTCAAAATAAATCAGGTGGAGGAGAGCTTAAACAGCTTCTCCATCTGTGGCACACTGACCCGTCTAATTAAATTGTGTTTTTTCAGTCTTTGCTGTCTGCTGTGCCCTGTCTTGTTCTTGATTACACGGTGTTCTGAGATCTCTGTTATGGCAGCTCTCCGTCCTGGATCAGTTTCCCAGTTCATTCAGGGCTAGGAAACACACTGCATCCACCACCAACCCGACCTCGAATCATCTCCTTTCTCTTCCCTAAACCCAAAGGAATTATCATCATTAAGCCTCTTGTTTCTTTGGCTTCACTCAACTTAAATCAGTGGGCCTTTTCTTTTGTTGAAATTCTGTCATCTTTTTTTTCCCAAGTTGTATGAGACACACATCCTCCTCCTCCTTGCTGACCTCTAGTCCCATGGAGAGGAGACTTCAGGAAACATTAATATTCTCATGTTTCTCCTGGCAACCTGATGACAAAGGCAATTATACCTTTTTTAAAAATTTTTTCTACAGGGCAGAATCTCTATCTGCTGAAGTCTCAAGGTTTCACCTCACATCTCACAGGAGCGTAGTAAACCTCCTTGAACATTTTTATATTTCAGAACTTTAACCCGTGAGATTATGGAAAAAGAAGTCTTTTTAAAAATGTCTTAATTAAGAATGTCTGCCCCTTTTGGGGCTTGTCTATGTACTGTTAAGCCATTCAGCGTGAAAGACCAAATCACAGCATGTGAAGGCTGCAAGGCTGTCGGAAAGAGACAGCTGCTGGATCTCCTTTGCCTTGGCTCATACTAGGCAGCGTTCGTCCGTCTGTCAATCTGAACGTCAGTAGATTCCAGTTCCCAATCCTTGTTGTTATCTATCACCATCTTAATGGGACAAATGACGCCGTGTTTGCTGATTACACTCTCACTTTAAGTATCTGTCTTGGTCTGAATGAAAATGGCCCCCAGAGGCCCCAAGGGAATGGCTCTATTAGGAGGCGTGGCCTTGTTGGAGGAACTGTGTCCTTGTTGGAGGGAGCTGGGCTTTGAGGTTTCAGAAGCTCAAGCCAGGCCCAGTGGCTCAGTCTCTCTTCCTGCTGCCATTGAATGCAGATGTAGAACCCTCAGCTGCCTCTCCAGCACTAATTCTGCCTTCATGTTGCCATGCTTCTGACCATGATATCATTGGACTAAACCTGTAAGCCAGCCCCAATGAAATATTTCCTTTTGTAAGAGTTGCTATGGCTATGGCTCTCTTCTTAGCAATAGAACGCTGACTAAGACAAAGTCCAAGCGCCAACTTCTTATGGCCCAGCAGTCATTCAAAGCTACTGGCAAGTGATGCTTGTGATTCTTTCCTGGCGACACGTTGATGGTGAAGAGGCAGATGCTTTCTGTCATCTTGTGTTGCTCTCCGCAGGAAAGGTGAGTTCTGGGTACGATTTCAGGATGCCTGAGAAATCTAACCCTCCTAAAGTTCACAGATGTCTTCCAGTGATAATGTGGGTTGCAGTTGGCTTTCCAGCCAGGTCCTGGGGTTCCTCATTCATGAATTTAGCCAACTGTAGACCAAATGCATCTGGAAAAATGTTTCTGGAGTGGGCATTTTGTTAGTCAGAATTTTCTAGAGTAACAGGACTTATAGAAAGAATATATATATATTATATATATTTTATATATAAAATATATATATATATATATATATATTAGAATGGCTTACAAACTGTGGTGCAGCTAATGCAACAAAGGCTGCCTATTATTGGAAGGTCTGAGACTCCAGTAGTTATTCAGTCTATGATGCTGGATACCTCAGCTGGTCTTTAGTATATGCTGGAATCATGAAGAAGCAGACTTTGATGACAGTGAAGTAATGGACTTGCTAGCAAGGCCAAGAGCAAGCAAACAAAGGAGGCTCTCCTCTTCCATGTTTTTATATAGGATTCCAGCAGAAGGTGTGGCCCAGATTGGAGGTGGGTCTCTGCATCCCAAAAGATCTGGATTAAAGGTATGGTTTCCCGACTCAAAGATCCATATTAGAAGTGAATCTTTCAGGACTGGAGAGATGGCTTAGCTGTTAAGGGCTGAATGATCTATCTAAGTAAAAATTCCTCACAGGTGTTCCCAGTCCTTTTTGGGTTTTAGTTAAAACCAAAGTAGCCATCACAGACAGATACATGTTCTTTGTAGTGATTCCATAAGCAATACTAAAATTCATGGTGTATTATGTATTATAAAAAAACGAGTTGTGATTTAAGTTGTATGTTTGAAGGATATATACAAATTCTATGCATGTCTGTTTAGATAAAGGACTCATGCGTCATAATATACATTAGTTGGGAAGTTGTCATATGTTGCTTAAGTCATCAAAGCAGAGGCCTTCCTTTGTCTCAGACTCAAACATGTTTAACAAGAGTCCTATAAACTTCTGCCCTGGGTCAGGCTTGCCCCTGGCTCTGTAATGGTGGGTGGAAAAAAACAGCCAACAGCTAAGGATGTTAAATACATTGTATCCTTAAGAACAGCTAAAAGGTATGATTGAGCATCCTTTGGGTATATACCCAAAAGTGGTATTGCTAGGTCTTGCAGTAGATTGTTTCCTAATTTTCTGAGAAATTGCCATACTGATTTCTAAAGCAGCTGTACAAGTTTGCACTCCTACCAGAAATGGAGGAGTGTTCCCCCTACCCCACATCCTCTCCAGCATAAGTTGTCATCACTGTTTTTAATCCTGGCCATTATGACAGGTGTAAGATGGAATCTCAGAGGTGTTTTGATTTGCATTTCTCTGATGGCTAAGGATGTTGAGTATTTCCTTAATGCTTAAGTGTCTTTCGGTCCTTTGACATTTGTCTGTTGAGGGTTCTCTGTTTAGGATTAGATTTTTTGTTATTTTGATGTCAAGTTTCTTGAGTTTTTTGTATATTTTGGGTATCAGTCCTCTGTCTGATGTGGGGTTGATAAAGATCTTTTCTCATTATGTAGGCTGGCATTTTGTCTTGTTGACTGTGTCCTTTGCTTTACAGAAGCTCTCAATGTCAGGAGGTCCCATTTATTAATTGTTGCTCTCAGTGCCTGTGCTACTGCAAGGGCATGTGCTCAACTATGTTCATAGCAGCATTATTCATAGTAGCCAGAACCTGGAACCCTCAACCAAGGAATGGGTAAAGAAAATGTACATTTACACAATGGAGTACTAATCAACGCTGAAAAATAATGACGTCTTGAAATTTGCAGGCAGATGGATGGATCTAGAAAAAAAAACATATTGAGTGATGTAACCCAGTTCCAGAAAGACAAACATAATATGTACTTTCTCATAAGTGGCTTTTAGTTATAAAGCAAAGAAAAACCAGCCTATAGTCTATAATCCTAGAGAACCTAGATAAAAAAGGATCTTACATAGGAAAGAGTAACAGACAAGTTCTCCTGAGTAAATTGGGAGCATGGGGGCCATGAGAGAGGGTAGAATGGGAGAGGGGAGGAGGGAAGGGGAACAGCCAAATGTATAGCTCTATAAAAACAATAAAAAAGAACAGCTAAAAGGTAAATTGTTTCCAGCACAGATTACCATTGTTTATTCTGTGAGCATAGAAATGCCTGTTGGGGGAAAGAGAAGTTGCAAGTTAGTTCATAAAGAGCTCAGTCAAAAACTCCAGCTGCCTGCCTCAACTTCCCCAGGCAGTTTGACTTACCGTGAGCCCATGGTTTGATGCTGCTGCTTCTGTTTGCTCTTTGAATCAGGCTCTTCCCATCATCTCTGATGGATGCCATAAGAATCTATTTTGCTATCTGTTTGCTGCTTCTATTTATGTGCTGCTTGATTTTTTTCATTTTTACTTGCTACATATTTAATAAAGTTACTCATTCTCTAGACTGCATAGAACAAGTGTCCTCATGTTTGGCATCTGCAGAAGGCCCTGGAGACAATACCTTAAGAATACTGAGAAGCAAATGTACTGGAAAGCTAAGTGCTGCACTGATGTACGAATGGAATTTTTACTCTCCAAACAGGAGTGTAGTTTTTTTATTTTGTCACCTGTTTGTAGGTGTTGTTCCACAATAATTCTGATCATTAATGCTATAACCCCAACTTGGTGTGATTTTAAAACCTTACCCCTTTTTGAGTGGATTGGTATTCCAAATATTTAAAACAGTTGCTAAGATTTTACCAGTGTATTCTAATCACATGCTTAATCATCAATAAGTTTCACCCATGGAAAGAAGTTTACTTGAGCTAAGTATTTGTTATCGTCACTTAAGGCTGTTTTAACAGGAAAAAAAAAGAGTTGGCAAGAGTGTAAGTGCTTGTCTTATGCAAGCTGGCTTGTATCCCACGTCCTGTGGGTAGAGCAGAAAATGGAAGGGAGAAACATGGTGGTGCTAAACTCCTGCCCACGACTCCAAATGGAACAAAGAAAGATGCCTTCGTGTTTATAAACTGGGAAGAGGAATGGTCGGCCGTTCATGCTCTCAGGCACCAAGTCATGCCCTTCCTGCTCCAGGCCTGTGATGTGTGGGCACCTTCATCTCTTCTCAAGAAAGAGTTACATTTTCTCCTGGTCCTCAGGGAGCTGGGTAGATCCATGCACCCTGTAAAGCCTGGACATAGAGCCCAGCACCTGGATACCTTTTGGAATGGCATTGTTGGCTTTGTGTTAGGATGTGACTATGTTTTGTCTCCATTGTGGCAGAGGTTGGGGTCATGAGGGGTAAACCCCCATGAATAGATAACCGTGTTTGTCTTGTAAGGCTGTTTTCTTCCCAGGCTGGGTTAATTACTGCCATCGTGATAAAGTAAATTCTCCTCGTCTGTTTTCTCTTCTATGTACATCAAGTGCCTCTTTGTTTTCTCTGTGATTTGAAGACATCTCCATCACATGAGCTTCCTGACCTTGTGCTTTCCATTCTCAAGTACTGTGAACTCAAGTTGGCTTCTTTTCTTTATAAACTGTCTAGTCTCAAGTGTTCTGTTCTATCAAAGCAACAAAAACCAAAGCAAAACAAAATAACAACAAAACAAAAGGTAATATAAAGTGATTCCTTGTAAGTGGAGGTGGGAGATTCGTAGAGTATACTGGGAAGTATATACATCATTCTGTGGGGTTCAGAAAGCCACAAGGAATGTACTCCATGACTTTATCTGAATGACTAGATTCTTCAACTCCCCTTCCCAGAAAATGGGAGGGATAAAAATCATGCATATTATATATTATTCTATAACCTGTAGGGGTCCCAATCTGAGGAAAAAAACAGATTTGTTATTGTTCTTGGCCTTAAAGTGAGTTTCATTGTTTTGTCTTTAAATTCTACTAATATCTAAATGGCTACCATATTTTATTTTCGATAGTGCCCTCTTTTCACTTGGAAAAGTAGTGTTAGGGACAGGAGGGAAGCATTACTTTCTTGTCTGAACTCTCCGACCCCATATTTTCCACTAAAGAAGAAGGGGGAAAGAGTATTTCAGTGAACACAGACCCCAGGTTATGTTTCATGATACAATAGGAATGGTGGAGATAAAGCAATAAGATGGCTTTATGCAAGTGCATGGAAAGCCATTCAGTAGGAGTTTGGTTGGGTGGTGGTGGCTCATGCCTTTAGTCCTAGTACTTCGGAGGCAGAGGCAGGTGAGTCTCTGTAAGTTTGAGGGCAGTCTGATCTACACAGCCAAATTCTAGGGCAACCAGAGCTACGTAGAGAAATCCTGTCTCAAAAAAAACAAAAAGAAAAAAGAAAAGAAATAAAAGAAAACAAAAAGAGTTTGAACTTTATTCCACGAATAGAAGGGTATAGAGTTCCATGCTAAGTGGTTTTCACTTTGTCTGAGGGACTCTATGGAGGAGGCAGGAGGCTTTGCAGTAGGGAATGCTATGTTTAAGTCAATGCCGGTTGGACATAAATCTGGTAGCAAGATGTAGGATGTGTTAGAAGAGACATCACAGAAAAACAAGACAATCAGGACACGGCTTCAAACTGGGACATACTTTTAAATATATATCCAATCACATGGTGATTGAGTTAGTTCTTCAGATGTCCTTTGGCTTTTGTTTAGGCCAGGGTCTCAGTTGGTTTGCCAGTATTATTTTAATAGGCTTCATATATTCTAATGTTCTTTTAAAGGAATTCTTAGGCTGCAATCATTTGTAAATGGTATCTCCTAGGACCAGGATTAACTAACTGTGTGTGTGTGTGTGTGTGTGTGTGTGTGTGTGTGCACATGAGCATGCGCAAGTGAGTGAATGAGCCAGAGGTCAGCCTGGGGTATTATTCCTTAGGGCTCTCCACCTTGCTCTTTGAGACAGGACCTCTTACTGTTCTGGGATTTGCCAATTTGGCTAGGTTGACTGGAGAGTGAGTCCCAGGGATTCTCTTCTCTGCCTATCCAGGACTAGAACATAAGTGCCCACTAACACATGTGGGCAATACAACAGAAGTCCCTGTATTTGTGTGACATGAATGTTCCAACCCAAAACTAACATCATCATAATAACAATCTTTATTTATCTAGCAATCAAACTAGGATTAGCTTCTTTCCTTATAGTCTGGATACTCAAGCCTTTGTTTGATCTGTTTTCAAACAAGAGATCTACAATAATTATAAACTGGTTGGCCTATTAACTCTTATATCTTACATTAACCTATAATTCTTGTCTGTGTTAGCCATGTGGCTTGGTGCCTTTTGTCAGTGAGGCATTTTCATCTTGTTTCCTCTATGTCTGGGTGACTGAACCTTTTCTCTTACTTACTTTTTGTAAGTAGTATATTTTCTCATTTATAGTAATTATATGGTGTTTACTGCTGAGTACATCTCGATGAGTATGTCAAATTAAAAAACGTGTTGCCTCTTCTAAGACTCAGATAACACCTATAGGAAAGAATATGTATGACTGTATATACTAATGACTAGAGTTTGGAGAATTATGTATGCATTTGCAGTAGTAGAACAATAGTAGAAATAAGGGTTTAGATGAAGATGAGATGATGGCGGGATAACAGAGAGGTAAAATAAGCTCTGATAGGTATTTCTAGGGAGTTTGGAGTGCAGCTGTCACCCTAAGGTATTTTCTCCATTATTTTCAAGATGCCCTTGGGCTGAAATAATGGAAAATAGTTAAAGTCTTAAGCAGCACAATGAATTTGTTATTTTATAAGCCAAGAAACCCTGACATAGGATGGCTCCAAGGTTTGTGGTCAGTGATTCATTGACAGTACCAACCACTTAGCTTTCAACCACTTTCCATATATAGCATAGTGACTAGGCTTTATTTTCATGGCTCCCAGATTCCTGGTATGAATTGAGAAATCCCATCATGAGAGGCAGCATTTCCAGTGTGACAGCAAGCTTGAAGGATGAAAACATGCTTCCCCAGAGGTGTTAGCACAGAAAGGTTTTCCTTCAGGATTCTTCGGCAACACACAAGCCTTGTATTCATTTACAAACTCGTAAATGCAATGGAAAATAACATAGGCTAATCTACACAAATTAGGACTTATTCTGTGAGCCAGGGATAGATACTCTTTTGTTGACTGAGGTTTCTGTCCAGCCCAGTCCTGCAGCCATTCAGTCCCAAAGAAACACACAGTGGTCTACAATAATTATAAACTGGTTGGCCTATCAACTCAGGCTTTGTATTAACTTTTATATCTTACATTAACCTATAATTCTTGTCTGTGTTAGCCATGTGGCTTGGTACCTTTTGTCAGTGAGGCGTTTTCATCTTGTTTCCTCTATGTCTGGGTGACGACTGCAGACTGAACCTTTTCTCTTGCCAGAATTCTCCTGTTCTGGTCACCCCACCTATACTTTTGCCTGGCTACTGGCCAATCAGCTCTTTATTAAACCAATACAAGTGAGAAATCTTTACAGGGTACAAGACCATTATCCCACAACACTGTCCCTGAAGGATGGGATTCTCAGGAGAATATGGGCTTCATTGACAATTATGGCCAGTGCCCACGGGTCTTTTACAATTACTATGGAGAACTGTAGTTTTTCATCTACTAAGTGTGGTTTCAACATTCTTTGCATTCCTCCCTGCACATAGCTGAGAAAGTCTTGAGGCTCATGGCTCTTCTTTCGTAGGAATCTACTTAGATCTTCTCTCCATGTGTTGAATTAAGGCAGTGCGAAATACTTCAAATGCAAAGTCCACTTCCTGCTTAGTGATGCACATGGGGGGTGCGATGCGGAATGTCTGAGGAGGAGAGGAAAATCATCAGAGACTCAAATGGGACTTCCGCAAATGGGCTAGACCAAGAATCCAAAGCTTTATTTTAATTTATTTATCATATTTCTGACATTTCTCTCACCAGGTTGCCTTCTTCCTCTTCCCTCCTGGGCTCTTTCACCTTTAAGTCTTTACACCTTTAAGTCTTTATCACCTTGCTTTGAGTTTTTCCTTTTTGCTGTCTGTTGACCTGCTTGCCCACTCTGAGATCTTACTTTGCCACCTCCCGAATGCTCAGTTTCTGCCCTCACAAAACATCATTTTCCCCAATTCCCACTGTTCTGAATCTACTCATGTTCAAGGTCAATGCCCGAATAAGCCAACCGCTATTTCCCATTGTGCCCACCATTTTCATAAGAATTTGGGGCTCCTCGTTCCTTCATCATTTTCTGACCCACCACTTTAGTCAGGTCCCTTCCTTCTGTTGTCTCCCAGCTGGGAGAACAAAGTCAACTGATCTACCCTCTCTCTTGCCCCTCATTTTGCATACGTTTCTAGGCTGATGTTGCTTTGCTCATGTGGCCAAGTCTCAGTGCTGATTAATGCTGTAAATGATCTTGTCTTCTGCTTCTATAATCCCACATTCCTCTAAACTCTCAGCACACCATTGACCCTTTCCTAGTTCCACTTTCCTCCCCTTCCCTTCTGTCTACTAAAGAGAGTTCTGCCCTAAGTTTCTGTCTTAACCTCACCGAGCTTCTCACTGGGACATTAGACTTCCCTAGTTTTCCTCATTTTACTATTTGCATGTTGACAACCCTAAATTATAATCTTAAACCCTATCTTTCCCACTTAACCACATACTGAAATACCAAACTAGGTGCCGATAAATGCCTTAAATGAAACATGTTTAAGGATGAATGCATTCATGCCCACCTTAAGCAATTCTGACATGAGGTTTTCATTCTTCACTCTTGTTTATTCTTTACACTCAAATCTTATTCAGTTTACTCCCAAAATATCATTAGAGTGTATCTTTTATTCCTCCACCCACTGTTGAAGCACAGAAAGCATCCTCAGTTCCCGTCAGACTCCCTGTCTCTGATCTTGTCTCTGAGGACAGACTCAAGACTGCGCTCACTAGTTATATGATCTCGGCAATTTACTTAACTTCTAAGTACTTCTCTTTATTCATCTATAATGTAAGGGTGATAATAGTATCAGTTTCTTCTGGTTTATTGAGAGCACTATGAGTCAGTACATACAACATGTCAAGAGGAGTGACTGACAGGGTGACAGGCCTTCTAGCTGTTCCCTGTCATCACACCAAGCTGAGGCTCCAGCCACACCTGTGTGTGGACAGCTCTTTGCACTCTGCTCTTCTTTTCCTCATGCTTTGGCTAACTGTACAGTGAGCAAAGGCTCTGTTAGCCAGAATAATGGCCTAAGCATCCATTCCCTCTCCTCCCACAGCATCCCATTTTATAGCTGCAGAAGAGATTACTATACTGTTTATTGTATATAATATATTGTATTGCAGTTCTGTGTTTCTGTGTTATCTTTTCTCCCATAAACTCAATGAAGAAGATGATCTGAAGACATTTATCACTGTAGCTTTGATTCCCTGCATATCATTGGCTGCTTAACATGAATTTGAAGGGAAAGCTAAACTAGTAGATGATTACAATATCTTTATAAGTGAAGATTTAAATAATTAAGCCACACTATTTGATGTAACCAGATAACCATTCCTAGTGTTTGTTTAGGGATCTTGTCTGATAGCTTCAATTTCCTCTGACAAGCAAGAGGGAAGAAGTGGATCTTTCAGTATCCATTGTGTTAGCTAGGAAGGGAGTAGGGCACTGGGAAGAATGAGGAGTTTAAAGTGGGTAGAAATACGAAATTGCATTTAGAAGAAAGAAGCCTGGTGTTCTGCACACCCTATTGGCTAAAGGTATCAGCAATGCACTGTATATTTCAAAGTCCATGGAGTGGTTTGAACAGGAATGGCCCCCATGTGTTTGAATGCTTGGTTCATAGGGAGTGGCACTATTAGGAGGTGTGGTCTTGTTGGAGTAGGTGTGGCCTTGTTGGAGGAAGTGTGTCTCAGTCTGCTGCCTATGGATCAGGATGTAGAACTTTCAACGCCTTTTCCAGCACTGTGTCTGCCTGCATGCTACCCATCATGATGATTATAGACTAAACCTCTGAATTGCCAGCTAGCCCGAATTTAGTGTTTTCCTTTATAAGAGTTGCCATGGTCATGGTGTCTCTTCAGAGCAATAAAACTCCAACTAAGAAAGTCAAGAAGAAGGAATTTTAAATGTTCTTATCACAAAGAAATGATACGTGAGAAGATAGATAAGCATCATCTCTTGAATGATTGAATATTGAATTTATAATATTATGCATACATCAAAACATTACAGTGGATTTTCTAAATATATGCAATGATATGTTTCATGAAAGGAAATGTTTTAAAATGGGGGAAATTAAAGAGAGAAAAAAAGAATATTATGGGGAACAGAAGTGACTCTCATTCTTAAATCTCTATCATGGGAGCCCTTCCTGGGGAGGGACCTGATGCTGCAGGGATTTAGAGGCAGGTGGTATTGTACATTACCACCACCACCACCATCATCACCACTGTGGAGACCACCACCACCACCACCATCATCATCATCACCACCATCCTCATCATCATCATCACCAGCACCATCATCATCTCATTCTTGTGGTACAGGGTCAGACCAGGGCCCTGACAGTCGAATGGGTTTAATTTCCAGGAAGTGGGAAGGGTGATCCCTTTTTTAGAATATTCCTGCTGAGGGTGAAGGACACTGAGTGGCTGGTCTTGAGCTCTGTACAAGGGACCATGTTTAGCATGGTCTCTGATCTTTCTTTGTGGCATCATAGAGGGCAGCCGTGGATCTTAGATTGCTGTCTACTGTAATGGCCACTAAAATTGAGCTGATTCACACACAGACTTCAGAGAGGAGTTAAGAATGACTGTGCTTGTTTTCTCAGGGGTTAGAACTAATTCATACACAATACAGTGCATATGTATGTATCAGTTGCATGAATGTTATAACTGTTATCATCCATGCTGCGTGTTGTCTAGTTTGTGTGGCCTTTCTAATGTCTCTCTTTGGCCCCCACAAAAGAATGGTAACTGAATCACTTTACCACATCCCCCTCTAGTGGCAGCAGCTGTCTCTTGTCCATTTCTCCTGAGCATCAATCAGAACATGGGGGAAGTCCAGCTGGGTCCCCTAGCACAGTGACACACCAGGAAGACCCTACCTGGCAGGCAGTCCTTCTCTTACCTGAGAAAAAATGCCCCCTCTGCCCACGAGGAGCCCCATGTCTTTGCAGTCCTCATGGATTTGATTCACTTCAGTTTTAGGAAGAGGCTGGCGGCTCATCTGGGAATAAATTAAAAATCGTTTTTTATTTGGTGTTTCAATGGTTTGAAGAATGATGTCCCCAGGCACGGGGCCCAGGAAAAACCACAACAAAAACAAAACTCAAGCAACCAATATCTCCCTAATTAAATAAAGCTGTTAATTACTGAGCCTGAGGATTTGGGGGGTGGGGTGGGTGAGTGGGTATTAAAAGTATTGGTTTTTATTCTCTTTCATCCAAAAAATTCCCAAAGACTAAATGAAATTCCATGCAGGCTCTCAGTGAATCCTGGCCCTGCTAAAGGCTACCCTGGGGGGTGGGCCCTTTAATACCTCATTTGGGATCTGTTTTGGTGGTGTTGAAATTCCTTTCAACTCTTTATGGTGCTTTGCTGAAGAGTTCATTCCAAGGACCAGGAAGTGGCTTCCAAGTTTCGAAAGAGCAAATGCAGCTAAGTGTTCCCCTGGCCACAGCGTGGCCGTGGGGCTGGTGTGCAGCTAAGTCTGTGTTTGTGAAATTGCTCTTCCCCCAAGACTCCAACACTTAGGGTCAGGAAACGTTAAGTGCTTGGGAGCCAGGAGGGCATGCCACATCTCTAGGTACTGAGGTTGGTCTTGTACCCGGGGCTCAGACATGTTGCGTCAACTCTGGTGACTTTGGGCTGGAGTTTGCATCATTTCTGTGTGTCCCTGCATCTCCAGTCTATGAGCACAACTATTTCCCTCTAGTTTATTCATTTCAAACCTAAGTGTTCCTGTATTATCCGGGGACCTTTCACACTACAAAGACATGGGCCTCTGGTAGGACAAATTGGTATACTGGAAAGCCTTAGCGTGGATCATTTTAAAAATGAGCCATAGGTAGCTGTCTTGGGATCTTTTCCAATCCTCCTTAATACATTTCAGGTGTTTTTGCTGCCCCCATCTCCCCAGTGTCCTTCACAGATCAGTCATAGGGCTCATCATAACTGTGACTTCTGTGTTTTAGATGTGTAAGCCATGATCCCGCCCTTAGGTCAGTCCTGAGGTAGAGGAGGGTTCCTTCCCATGAGTCAGTTTGCTGTTCCCTCAGGACTTCCTACCCATCATTCCCATGGGCTTTGGTAGTACATTACATATAGTAAACCACAGCTTCTTAGTTTTGGATAATATGTATGCATCTGACCCTATTACATCTACATTGCCTGCCACTGGCCCCAGGCAGCCACCCAAACAGCTGTTGAGCCTTACCTTGTCTTGAACCATCTCTATTCCTATCAAAAGGCCTTTGCCTCGGACATCCCCAACGATGTCGAATTCCTCCCGCAGCTCAGCAAACTTGAGGATCATGTAGGTACCAACTTCTTGGCTGTTTTTCTGTAGATTTTCTTCCTTAATCACCTGTTGAGAGATATCCTGAAATAATCTTACGGGGCACAATTGGAGGGTTGACTGAGAAGCACAGAGAGCTAAGTGTCCACGGTCCTCTTTACAGGAGCATAACTAGGCAAACAGGACCTAGAACAGAATCAGCTGTGGACAAACAGGGGACCACAGAAGACCTGCTGTAAGGAACACAACAGTCCTGGCAAAGGCGATTTCCCTGAACCTGTCCACCTGTAGAGGCAAATTTACAAAATTACAGATGAAAAAGGGGGCCAAAATCAAAGACACCAAGGAAATACAGAGACTCATAAGGAAATACTTTGAAAACTTGTGCTCAACAAATTGGAAAATCTAAAAGAAACGTAATTTTCTTGATACATACCACTTACCAAAGTTAAATCAAGACCAGATAAGCAATTTCAATGGACATATAATCCCTAGTGAAGTAGCAGTCACTAAGAGTTATTTCCCCCACGAAAAACAAAACAAAACAAAAAAGCCTAGGGCTAGAGGGTTTTAGTGCAGAATTCTACCAGCCTTTCAAAAAAAAAAAATTAACACCAATCCTGCTCAAACAATTCCACAAAAACAGAAACAAAAGAAACACTGCCCGAATTGTTTTACAAGGCTGTTGTTATTCTGATACCCAAACTACATAAAGATCCAACAACAAAAGAAAATTATAGACCAATTTCCCTTATGAGCACAAATTCTCAATAAAATACTGGCAAACTGAATCAAAGAATATATAAAAATAGCATCTATCATGTGTAGCATGAATTCTGGTTGATCTTAATAATAAAAACCTGGAGTCAAATATTAGGGGATGCAAGCTGAAAGATCAGAGAGACAATGTAGTCAGCCACTAGTTCTTACCTCTATGAAATCCTCAGACCAAATGGGGTATCCTGTCTCTACAAGTCCTCAGACTGAATGCTTTCTCTATGAAACCTCGGTCTGAATCCTGAGCTCCTGTCTTCTCCCGCCTTATATTGCTCTCTCTGCCATATCACTTCCCATCTCTACTTCCTTAGTGCTGGGATTAAAACTGTGAGCCACTTGGCTCTGTTTTTCTTTTAGACTGATTCAATCTCATGTAGCCCAGAATAGCCTTGAACTCACAAAAATTCATCTGTATTTGTCTCCTGAGGGCTGGGATTAATGGTGTGTGTCAGCACTGTCCGGCCTCCATGGTTAACTAGTGTGGCTAGTTCTGCACTCTGATCTTCAGGCAAGCTTTATTTTTTAAAGCAGAAATAAAACACCACCACAATCATGATCAAGTAGGCTTCATCCCAGAGATATAAGGGATGGTTCAATATATGAAAACTGATGAAGGTAAACCACAAACTGAAAGACAAAAACCACATGAAAATCTAATTAGGTTCAGAAAGGCCTTTGACAAAATCCAACACCCTTTCATGATAAAAGTCCTGGGGAGATTATAGATACAAGGGGCATGCCTCAATACAATAAAGGCAATTTACAGCAAACCTATAGCCAGCATTAATTTAGATGGAGAAAAACTCAAAGCAATTCCACTAAAATCAGGAACAAGACACAGTTTTCCACTATCTTGTTCATCAATAAGTACTTGAAATATTACCTAGAGCAATAAGACAACAGAAAGAGATCAAGGGGATATAAACTGAAAGGAAGAAGTGAAAGTATATCTATTTGTAGATGATATAATAGTATACATAAGGATCCTAAAAATTCCACTAGGGAGCTCCTACAACTAATAAACTCTTTCAGCAAAGTAGTTAGATATCAAATTAACTAAAAAAAAAGAAAAAAGAAAGAAAACTGAACAAACAGTAGCCCTCCTGTATACAAATGGACCGAGAAAGAAATCAGGGAAACAACACCTTTCACAATAGTTTCAAATAATATAGGCTACCTTGGAGTAACTCTAACCAAACAAATCAAAGACTTGTATGATAAAAACTTAGTCTTTGAAGAAAGAAATGGAATACGATGTCGAAAGATGGAGAGATCTCCCATGCTCATGAATCAGTAGGATTAAACGTAATAAAGATGGCCATCTGGCAATCTACATTGAATCTACAGATTCAATGCAATCCCATCAAAATTATAACATAATTCTTTACAGATCTTGAAAGGACAATTCTCAGTCTCATATCAAAACACACACACACACACACACACACACACACACACACACACACACACACACACCAAAACCCAGGATAGTTAAAACAATCCTGAACATTACAATCTGAACTCAGAGAGTTAGGCAGCATGCATAGGGCCTGTATGGGTCTGCACCAGATGGAGTCCTAGAGCTCCCAGAGCTGGAAGAAGTGGACACGTGTCCCATTCCTAACTGAGAAGCAATCTCCAGTTGGTTAGTTTTCTCCAAAAGAGTCTCACTGGGAAAGACTACTCTTAAGAATGGGCTTTATGTTCAACAGCAGGAGGCCAACAGAAAGTGAACTCAATGGCATCTTTGGAGGTTCCTTGTCTTCTGTTGTGTCAGGCAGGGCTTTTCTCTTCTTCCTTTTCCTACAGGTCTCTCTCTCTCTCTCTCTCTCTCTCTCTCTCTCTCTCTCTCTCACACACACACACACACACACACACACACACACACACACACACACTTACCCTACAGGTCTCTCTCATATATATATATATATATGTGTGTATATATACATATATATATGTGTGTGTATATGTATAATGACTTCTAGTTTAGTGTTTTATGGGATTCCTGAATTGCAAATGAGCGGGTCTACATGTCTGTATCTATTTCTTATGTGTCTGTATCTATTTCTTATGTGTCTGTATCTATTTCTTACACATCTGTATCTATTTCTTACGGGTCTGTATCTGTTGTGCTTTTTCTTGGGTTCTCTTTCTTCTGTTTGTTCAATTCTGATGTGTTAAAGTTTGTTTTTATCTTATTACATTTTACTTTATTATTATCCCTTAGAAGTCTTTGTGTTTTTAATGAGAGACAGAAATGGCGTGGAACCAGGTAGGAGGGGAGATGGGGAGGAACTGGGAGGAGTAGAGGGAGGGAAATGTAATCAGGATGTATTATGTAAAAAAAAAAATTCAATAAGAGGAAAAAGTAGGCAATGTCAACAACAAGAAACGAATGTCAAATTTCTACCCACTCATTCACATCTCATGACTTAATCATATCTTAAAGTATTTAATTAGCAATAATAGCTTTAACTTCTTTATTTCTGCTCAAAACACTTTTAAATTTCTTGAGTAGGTGAGTCATAGTCATAGTTCAAAATAAGAAGCACAAAAGTGTAAATAGCGGGATGATTTGTACTGACCTCTGACCCTAGCCAAGTTTCTCCTCATATAAACTGAATTTAAAAAACTCTTTGGATGTTCTTTCAGAAACACGTTGTACTTATTTAGGCAAAAGGCATTTTATAAAGACATTTTATAAAGAGGACTTTTTTTTTTCAACAGAATAATGGGATAGTTAAAATAAGAATGTGGGATACTTTATTACTAAGCTGATTTAGCAAAACAGTGATTTGGATTTCTCCTAGGGACCGTGAAGAGTGTCTCCTCGCTTTCATCAGAGAAGCATCTTTTTGTTGTCTGTGGCAATCAATACCCATAATTGGTCAACACACAGAGAACAAGAGACTGTGGCTTGCTCAGTTCTCCACGGGGGCACTGGTATCACATCTCTTCCACTGGAGGTTCCGAGATCATTGCAGAACTCGCGTGAACAGACTGTAGGAGCCAGAGGGAAGGTATACTGCAGGGAAACAGCATTTCTTGCCATGACAGTGCCGTTACACACGCGAACTCACACTGGCTGAGACTGCGCATGATGAAGCCAGTGAAAGTCCAGAATGGATGGAGGAGGAGCTCAGGAAATGCCATTCCTCCTTGAGGAGCTATTAATGATCTCTTGGGGAGGGAGAGTCAGCTTTCTTCAGAAAAGTGCTCCCTGAGAGTCTACCCATGCTCCAGCCATGGTCCCATAAACATCCAGGCATCACTAAATAGACTCAGTGGGTTAACAAAAGAGAAAAGCACATGAAGTAGGGAGAAAAAGGTGGTGGGTGGGTATGGGAAAGTAATTAAAAGGGAGACAAAGAAATGGATTTGATTAAAACACAGTATATGCACCTATGACATTCTCAAACAATAAAATTATTTCAAAACTGGCTAATATTATACAGAGTGAATGTGATAGGATTAACTATATTTTTTCTGTTTTTTTTTTCAGTTTTTAGCTGAATTACCCTTATATAATCAGTTAAAACCTGTAGTTTCTCTATACTCTTTCATTTATGATAATACAAGGAAGAAAAACATCTATAGTAAATGGCAAAAGTTAAGTTAAAATGGGTGAACAGCTGTTAAAACCTATACTGCAACAAATCCTACCTAGAAAGCAAGAAAAATTATCCCATGGACAGGGCAATTCTTACATTTCCCATGCATGTGAAGTTGATTATCTACTACCTTTTATTGAGAACTTTAAGAACTCAAAGTCATCTTTAAAAAGAGGGGCAGAGAGTAATAACCGGAGACAAAATTTAAATTGGTGAATTACTGATTACATTTCTACTTCACCATGGCAATGTGACTGAGTTCAGATAAGCCTAAAAATAGTTACTTAGCGCATGCAGTCAGTGGAGGTGGTGTAAGGGATAGGACAGACCTTGAGCACAGCGGATCCAATGGCACAGGCCAGGGGGTTTCCTCCAAATGTGTTGAAGTGATGCATGCATTTAGTCAAAGATTTAGCGATTTCTAAGGGCAGAAAATAGAAGAGGTTAAAGTGACACATTCGTACCCATCGTGTCTTGTCACAACATTGGCATTACATTCACTTTCTTTTGTCTTTTATTAATTATGTATATAGTATCTGCCTACATGTATTCCTGAAGGCCAGAAAAGAACACCAGATCTTATAACAGATACTTGTGAGCCACCATGTGGTTGTTGGGAATTGAACTCAGGACCTCTGGAAGAAGAGTCAGTGCTCTTAACCACTGAGCCATCTCTCTGCCCCATAAACTACACATTCTTTTTTTCCCCCTCTTGTTTTTAGAGACAGGGTTTCTCTGTAGCTTTGGAACCTCTCCTGGCACTTGACCTGTAGACCAGGCTGGCCTTGAACTCACAGAGATCCACCTGCCTCTGCCTCTTGAGTGCTGGGATTAAAGGCGTGTGCCACCACTGCCCGGCACATTCACTTTCTTCTTGTAAATGACATTCATTTCTTTCTTTCTTTACTCATCTAACAGTGATAGACTGGGCTGTGTCCCCTTAAAATCCATAAGTTTAAATGCTAGGACCAAGTGTGACTATATTTGGAGGCAGAGTCTTTAAACGGGTCATTAGGAATTAAATGTATCGCAAAGCTGGGGTCCAAACCCCACAGGACAATGTCCTTATAACAACGAGAGATTCTGGAGTGCTCCTAGTCTTTCTTCTGTGTGCATACATAGGGAAGGTCGTTTAGAGAAACAATGAGATGGGGGCCATCTGCAAGGCTAGAAGAGAATCATAGGCACAATTCAACTCTGCCAGCATTTTGATCTTGTCTGCCTTATCTGTGGGAAGATAAACTTCTGTTATTCCAGCCACTTGATCCATGGTATCTTACTCTGCCAGAGGTCACTAATATGTGGGAAAGGGGACAGCTTATTTCTTTAATGAGAAGGTGACAACACAATCTTTAATGTGTCACGTGAGTTAGGAAGCCTCTGAAAACTTGACGTGCAGGACTCTGCAGAAACTTTCCGATTAACCGCATCTCTTATTTCTACTCATGAGACTTAGAGGGAGGAGCTGAGGAGATGACCTTATATGATGAATTCAGTAGCATAGTTCTGCATTCTGTCAAGGGCAGTTCATTACGCTTCGCTTTCCGCAATCATGCATTTTTGGTTTTAAATTAATGTAATGATTATACAATGTAATGGGTTTCATTTTTGCATGTCCATGTATAGCTAAGCTTCTTGTGCTTTTGCTTATTTTATGAAAACAGATATCACAAGATTTTAGTTACCTAATGACTCAGAAATGTGCTGACTATTGGGAGAAAATATATATAAAATAATTTTCAACGATCAATGGTTCACAAGAAATAAAATCTGTCAAAGTCTCCCTACAATAGAGAATCAAATTTTCACTCCTATTTCATAGAGCAGTTATTTTCAACTTTCCTAGTGCTGTAACCCTTCAGTACAGTTCATTTTGTGGTGATTCCCCAAGCATAAAATTATTTCATTGCTATTTCATAACTGTAATTTTGGTACTGTTATGAATCCTAATGTAAGCATCTGAGATGCAGGATATCTGATAAATGACCCCAAAAGGGCTGTGACCCACAAGCTGAGAACTGCGTCATAGAGTGTTCTGCATAAATGAGATTTTATTTTATATGACTGTGTGTCTGATAGGACACTGATAGAGAAATCGGGACCTTGTATGCGTAGTTAATGGCCTTGGAAGACCACGTGACCATGGAAGATTCTCTTCCAAGAAAATATTCTTCTGGAAGTTTCAGTGTTTTGTTTTTGTAACCCATTCACCCAATCCTCTTCACTATGGTAGAACTCTGGTTCCAACTACTATGATGGAGGAGGTCATCTTTTCTCCAGAAAGGAGGGGATGACCGATTCTCTTCCAGCTGCCCCCTGGCTTGGCACCTTCCTCTTTCCTTTGCTTAGACAACACATCGTGTGGCGCCCATCACTGCCTCTAGCCTATACACGTCACAACCAGTGCTTTACACCATTGTAAGTGCAGGAGGCCCAGGAGGCAAGTGTGGGCATGCTGGACATTGTACCTGGAGTGGTCACAACTGCAGCCATGGGGAAGCCATTCCCAATCCCTTTAGCCATGGTGACAATATCAGGCAGGACATCGTGGCTTTGGAAGCCCCAGAAGTGAGAGCCCAGCCTTCCAAATCCTGTCTGCACCTGGAAATAGATGAAAAAAAATCACCAGAAAACTCTTTCAGACTCTGTTCTATTCCCTTCCTTTACCTCCTTCCCATCTCTCCTTAGCCTTCTGGATCCTTGCAGTCTTATAGACAAAACCCTCGATCCATGTCTGATGTTGGATGCATCCAAAATCATTCCTAGCTTCTTGGGACTTTGGAAATGTTGTTTTTTGAATCTCTGTTAATTAACTTACCAAAGAGAAATAATTCTATCAGCCTAGCACAACACAGGACTGCTAGAGAGTTATATAAATAACACGTGCAAAAGGCGTCAGAATGTTTAACCCTCCTTAATAAGTTTCTCCTGTGCACAAGACAAACAGAGAGAAAAGTGGAGAAACTGGTTCCCCTGGAGGAAGCAAGAGTAACTATCTATCCAACAGGACTGGATGCTTACCACACAAAGAGAAAATGCTGTCTTTCTATCTTCCTGTACTATGAGGATGATGCTGCTGAGCCAGTGGTTCAGAGCATAACTGCTTTAATCCAGAACCAGCTATACGTTGAAAGTTGATCATAGTTTTTGTTCACACTGTCCCTACTCTCAACGACTTATGTTTCAAAATCCACTTTATTCAGCCTAGCTCGTGGTAGACTCTATTCAAAGCATTCTAGGCATGAGGCCACTAGAGTCTTTCAACAGATTCTTATTACTAATGTATGTGTCATGACAGCCCTGCCTGAGCTAGATTCTTAGTGCTTGTAGAAGGAAAGAAATCATGACAGAAAGATGTCATGAACAGACCAGAGCCTTTCTTGATTTCTATCTGCCTCTGTTTCTATGTCTGCCTGTCTCTCTCTCTACATGCACACTTGGCAAGGTGGGATGGACACCGGAAGCCTGGTCTCAAATGCATCAAAAACTAAGTTTTGTTGTTTCCCCCCTCCCCAGACTTCCTTTCTTCTCTTTTACCCCTATTACAGCTTGCTGCAAGGGGTTGCTGAACAGGTTGGTGGTCCTTAGGTGACAGTGACCAATACATGAGATGTGGGAGTCCAATGGACCCACTCTGCAACCCCAAGTCTTTACTTCCTAGCTACGGGCCACTGGATAAGTTGATTAACTGGCCCAATAATAATGTAGGCATTCCATGTAATTTGTCCTTTGGCCAATATTCTTTCTCCTCTCCATGTATCTTAAAAGGCATAAAAATGGCACAAATGGTAAAACCATGCAGAATAAAGCCTAGCCAGTCCCATGAGTTTCATAGGGTTGGATGCACAGAAGGACAGATGGATCCTTCTGCTGTGTGTAAATCCTAGTGTCTCCAGGGATGGGAGTTACAAGGTAGGGAGCAGGACAGCTGAAGCTGTGGTTGCAGGGTACTGGGGCAGTGGCCATGCCCTCTGTCTGTTATTATCCTGTTACTTGTTAACATCCCAGTCTCTCTTAAACTTGTCCACTGCTATGTTCTTGAAAGTCACGAAATTGGGGGTGGTGGGGAGAGAAACAAGAGACGGCCGTGAAATCACATCTCTTGGAAATTCTAAAGTTCTGATTTTCTTTGAATTCAGCCTACCTTCCTTCTAATTAGTCTGATTGTGAACGCTTCGCTGTGTGCGAATTCCAAGGCCAAGGTTTACCATCTTTCCCGAGACAGCTAATTTCGAACTGATTGAATGTGGTTTTTCTTTTTTTTTTTCTTCTTCTGTTAATAGTCGATTACCTCCCTCTTGATGGGACCTTGATGAGTCCACTAGAACAAGGAAGGGAGGAGGAACGGAGCAGGAAGACCTTGTTCAAGCTGCTACTGCACAGCCTTGGCAGTGGTACACGCTGAGCCTGACAGGGGCCTGGCCACACAAGTGGCGCTGGCAATGGCAAGAGTTCTGCCTACAGAGCAACCCAGCATGAACTGAGAGGAAATTTTGGCCAAGGAAAACAACCAGTAAAGGCCAGTGAGACTGGCGTAAATAGGAGTCACATGGGTTTCCCATTTGTCCACAGTGGCTCAAGCCACCTGTTCGTGCAAGCACGCTGGCCCCAGTGGTAAGGTGGGAGAGGACTTCTGTGCCTTAGGTACCACCCTCTGGTCCTTAAAAAAAAAATCTCTAGAGCTATGCTAAGCAGATAAAATGCTGGTTTATCTAATAAACTGCAATCCAAGGCATAATTCTAAAGATACAAGCTGGAGCCCACAATGCTGGTGAGCGGTAGTTTCTTCAAAGCAGGGGCTACCGTGTACTTATTTCAGCTGGGCTGCCTCCACTCTGGCACTTTACAAGTCTGTGCTCTCTAAGTCTGCATGTCTGAAGTGGTAGCAACCTTCTCATTTAGAGGCTGAATTATTCATTACTTTAAAAAAACAATCTAGTTGACATTGCTTTGGCATTAATATGAACACTAAGACCATGAGATTAAATATCTTTTATGGCTTGTCAGGAGACTGGCAACAATTCATAGAACAAGAAATAATAATAATAATAATGGCGAGAATTAAAGCACACCGTATAGCAGTATCATCATGTATGCCTGATAGCAACGTTTTAAATAGAAACCAGTTGGATGCTTAAATTCCATTATATTTGTTTATGGCCACACTTCAGAGTCCATGGACTTGCTTTCTGCCTGAAATACCAAAGAGGGTTTGAAGAGGTCTCTTTCTACATCTGGCCTGTGCCTACCGCACCAAGTTGATCCTGGCATAGCCACTCACTTCATCGGCAATGCATACACCTCCCCTCTCTCGAACCAAGGCAAAAGCTTCCTTCAGAAACTCCTTTGGGTACTGGACAAAACCATTCACACCCTGCAAAGATATAAAGATTATATCAGGAAGGCTTGAGTGTCAACAGGAGCCGTGGCTCAGCACCAAGGATGAGGAATCATCATTATCCTCATCACAATGACGTCAGTGCTGCCAGCTGAATGAACAGTGGGTAGAACTGTTCTAACTGGGGTTTCGCCACCATGCCTTTAGGGGAAAAGCTGTGACTCTATTCTTTCCTGAGGTTAGAAACAAGGAGACTTGATGAGTTAAAGATGGGTTCCCTGAACAGTATGTGTCAAATAGTTAACCATCAAAGGTATCTTCTTTTCTTGAAGACTTTAGGGATTCAATGACTTCACCTATTTATCTGTCCACTTGTTCCATGCAGGAATGAAAATGATGTATTTTTTTGAAGGTAAACTGAAAACTAGTTTGTTTTGCTTTTTTAAAAGGGGGATCAAAAGAATGAACTGAGCTTGCAAAGGAACACATAAATGGATGTTTAATTAATTTGGAGTCAAAACTGTGATAACGGAAAATTCAGAGAGATACTAGGTTTGTATACCCACTTGAATTGGCTCTGCAAAAAATCCAGCAATTGACTTGGCCACAGACGTGTTCAGAGTTTCTTTGAATTGTTCAATATACTGTTGGTTAGCCTGGCAGCAGCCTGCAGCAAACACATACACACATGGACAAATCACAGCATGTGATGTGAGAACGGCATTGAGAAAACACAGAGCAGTAAGAACAGTTCCCTCGCTGGAGTTCCTTAGACTACCGTGAGCCGGGATCCACGGGAGTTTATCTCTGAAGTGGGGGGGGGGGGGGGGGCATTCTGCAGGAATGACTCTATGAGGACAGCCATAAAGGTCTGAAACAGACAACTTCAGTAATTTCATTTGTGGCAGGAACACACCAAAGTATCAAGTCTAGTATAGAAAATCATTTTACGTAAGGACCATCCTCTTAGATGGGTAGGGTCTGACTCAGGTGTTATTGGGGTGGCTTAATGTATTCAACTTCAACTGTACTGTTGAATGTCCCTTGTTCTCAGACACGCTTTTAAACTGCAAAGTGCTCTGGCATTCAGTCTGTAAGTGTGCTTCTATAACCATGAGAATTCAGTCTAAAGAAGGATGCGTTAGGGTCAGATAAGTTTTTTTCCATGGTCACTCTTGACTCCAGGTTCGGGTCTCTTATTTATAGGCCTTTCTTCTTTAATTGAGGGCGCATTCAGTTTTGGAATCTGTGGCTTTGTCAAGTGTCTGGTACACCATGGGTCAGTTTCTGAAGAATCGGGGAAAAATAAATGGTAAACATTGTCATAGGTTTGTGACATATTGAGCAATGTTATTTGAAATTCCTCTCTGGCTAGGGAATCAGCTGTTGTTCAGGGGGTGCCTTTAATATGTTAACCCCTTTGTTTCCCAGATTGAACTGATAATAACCCACCCCCTGAGTTTTAAGTGTCAGCGATTACTTATTGCTAGAAGACATGCTTGTTTTTAAAAGCTCCTCAGTCATTTTGTTGAGTTTCTTAAGTACTATGCATATTTTCAAATTGTATTCACTATTTAATTTTCTTTAAATTTACTGAAGATACACATTCCATTGTCTGATAATTCGATTGCCTGGAGTTCTTATGGTCTTTTTCTAGAATGTGGAGTTGTGTTTCCGTGTGTGTTAGTTTTGACAATGGATAACTTGTTTTCCTTGGTATTTGTGAGCATTTTTTTGAAGCTTAGAAGCACGTAGGCTCATCAGAGTACCTCTCCACTTGCAGCTTCCAGGAGCACACAGCATTTCTGCATTTAAATCAGCAGGCTTAGTAGAGCTCAGAATGCAAAGCCTCATGCTGGGCAGCTTGTAGCTGAGATTTTCAGTGAGAGAATCCTTGCAGAGCTTGTCACCTTGATGCACTGCCGGTGTCTTTATTTCTAGTAGACCCCTGGAGGAGCATGTGGCCTCTTGGGACACCAGCTCTAGGACTGGGGAAGTTTTCATGTTATATCTTATTTTGTGGATGTGTCCCAGATCTTGTCTTTTCACCCTTGCCCTCTGTGGAACCTTAAAACCGAAGTTCAGTGTCCCGTGTTTGTCAAGAACCCTCAGGAGAAAACTTACTAAAGTTCCCCAAGACCTATTTGCATTTCTAAGAAAACCATTCCCTTTTTCATTTTTAAGGAAGTAATAATTTAAGTATTTAAAACATCTGTAAATATTTTAGAAGTTGTGGTTTTGGTAAGGAAAATTGAAGCCTGTCATTTCAATTTAGTAGTTATTATTATAGGAGAAGCATGAGGATTTTGTTCTCTCTCCCCCTCTCTCTCTCTTTCTCTCTCTTGGTTTCTTGAGACAGAGCCCTGGCTGTCCTGGAACTTTCTTTGTAGACCAGTCTGGCCTCAAACTCACAGATAACCTCCTGTGTCTGCCTCCCAAGTGCTGGGTTTAAAGGTGTGTAACAGCATGTCCAGCTAGAAGTAATTTTACTTTTTTTTTTTAAAAAAAAGTTTATTTATTTATTCATACAAGTGTTTTACCTGCATGTATGTGGACAGCATTGGCAACTGCTGCCCACAGAGGTCAGAAGATGGCATCAGAGGGAAGTTACAGTTACAGACAGTTGTGACCCACCATGTGGGTGGTGGAAATTGAACCCAGGTCCCCTGAAAGAGCAGTCAGTGGTTTTAACCACCGAGCAATCTCTCCATTCCCTACAACCCCGTTGTGACTTGTATGATACATTTGCCTAATAGAACGTGTTATTCAAATGGCAACACTTATTTTTTACAATTTATGTTTCACTGTTTTTCACAGTTAAACATTTTCAAAGAGAAGAACAAGGTCTCTAAATACAGGGTTTGCTTACTCCACACAGAATTTGAACGTGGTGTCTATGTGTTCTGGGTTCCTTTCTTTGCCAAAAGTATAAGAAAGAATAATTTGATTTTCTTATGTTTCTTTGTCACACGTACTATTAGTTGAATTCTAGGTGTGCTTTTGTTGGTAGAATGATTCTTCCTGGGTTCATGTTTAGAAGCACTTAAAAGTGACATACTTGAGTTTAGTTGCAGGAAATTTAATTTTTCCACAAACAGGAAACTTTGCCTGCTGTAGTTAAGTTTGGAAAAAGTGTTTGAAAGCTTTTACCCGAGTTAATCTACAATTACAAGATCTTTAGGGTCTCTTCTCTTGCATAACTGTTTGTTTCAGTGAGAGTGCCTTTTACATTTATGTGTGAGTTTTAGTTGTTTTGAGATGGAGCTAACCTGGGCTATCTGTTTTGTTAAGCCTGCAGCAGCTGTCTATCCATTCCAAATGTCTCAGAAGTTACAGGTATGTATTCTTGCCCTGCTTCAAGATGCTGGAAATGTCCTTGGTGGTGGATATAGATGCATCCCTAGCTGTCAGCCTCAATACACAGAGAAACAAGCATAAACTCATATGAGTGGAAGAGTACAAAGAGACAGAACATCCTTCAGGGAGTTTGCTAAAGCTCCGGAAGCCACCATCTGTGTACCACCTCTGGATACAGGAACTCTCCAGGAAGGAGGAAAGCGAGATGAGCAGTGTTTACACGTGAGTGAACTTTAAGAATGTTTATCTGCATTCATAGTATGGTTCTCAGCAGCCCATAGCATCTCTGAATGTAGCCCTAAGTCTATGCCAGCAGAAGGGATCAAGAGAAAGATGTGGATGCAGTGGGAGCCTCAGCCCATCTCATATGAAAGTACCTCGGGTCTGTGTGGGGAGACAACTGTCTTCCATCATTTGCTTAGAGGCATGCATGCAGCCTGTCTCCTGAAGACAAGAGAAACCCTCAACAACTATAAAAGAAAACTAAACCTAAATGTGTTTACACTATAGTCCACTAAAGCATAAGGAAAATATCGTGTTTCGAGAATGCATGGGACATTGAGGAAAAATTTATTGACATAGATACCTCATAACTTTAGAGTGAAATTTTCTATTTTCATTAGCAAAGGACAAGGCAGAGTCTTACATGACTCTAGCAGATATATAAAACACGAATAAAAGGCCTGGTTTCTGGGTTTAGCAAGTTCTTTTGTAACTAAGAATACCAGAATGGAATAAAATCAACTTTAAGTGCTTAAGTTAGGGTAAAATCACGTCAAAGGAAGAATTTACTTGAGTTTACCCTACACACCTGGTATTTACCGGCGCCTATCCATGTGTTTGGTGGGAAGTAACACTATCTATTATGTTTTCTCCATTTCAGATGTGTCGTGTTGGCTCATTCCTGTAACTTCAGGTCAGGCCTCCTATGGAGGGAGATAGGGTACATTGGTGTCTCCATGGCAACATCAAGAGGATGCGGATGCTCTGTTGGATATCATAACAGAGTTATTACTCTAGAGTCTATTTCAGTTGGTGTTACAGAAACCAAGAAGAATGAGAAACCAAGAAAGGACAATATTGTTAAGGAAAAAGAAGAGTTTCTTTCACAAAGGAAAGAATGCCACAATCTGTGCCAGCTTTGGGACACTGTAAGGGTGAGAAGAGAAAAAGTCTGTCATGGGGTGTGCCTGGAAATCCGGAAAATGAGTCTCTGGAGAATAAACAATTCAGAAGGTAGATAGGAGGTTATGACATCTACCAAAGAAAGATGGCAAACTGACCTAAGATGGGATTTGATGAAATAATTATGAGATGAAAATATCCATATTATGGTTGTATGCATCCAAGGAGAAAATTCTAAAAGCAACTGCATGCTTGAACCATCTACATTAAAATTACTTGACATGATGGACTGAGTACAATGGCTGGACATAAAGACACCACAGGAGTCTACAGTCCACTTCAGTATCTTATTGAAAAGCGTGGTATCACTCTTGGGCATATACCCAAAAGATGCTCAATCATACTACAAGGACATTTGTTCAACTATGTTCATAGTGGCATTATTTGTAATAGCCAGAACCAGGAAACAACCTAGTTGTCCCTCAACCAAAGAATGTTGAAGTGACCCCCAAACATAAAATTAATTTGTTGCTACTGTAATTTTGCTACTGTTATGAAACATAATGTAAATTTCTCATATGCAGGATATATGATATGCAACCCCCAGAGGGGTCACAACCCACAGGCTGAGAACCACTGGTCGTAGGGAAAGACCTCTAAGAGAGAATGCAGAGAAGATGGACAGAGGGAAGGATGCAGAGAAAGGAGGGAAGGAAGTGACCAGCTCTGCGTGCTTCTAGACTTTGCTGGTGGCTCTGCAGAGCAGAGAGCCTGAGAACTCTGAGATGCACGTGGCTGACTTTAGCTCTCGATGCCACACACATGTGATATACATTTATATTCCCAAGAAAATGGAAACTGTTATTAAATGCTTTCCTCTAAAAGGATTTGCATATTCCTGATCTCACGAAGTGGTGTGATGGGAACAAGGCCTGTGCTATTTATTACTATTGTTATTATTTTTATAAATGAGAAAACTGAAGTCCAAGATGGAGTGGAGTCTGTGTCTCTCGACTCCATGCATGTCCTCAAGCATGGAAAAGAAGAAGAAAAGGAATGATTTTTCATCTTGGGCTCAACTTGCTGGCACACCCGTGTGAACGAGGGTGCTCACAGGGACTGAAAGCACCAGTTTTCTAAAGCTAGGTTCTGAAGACTTGAGGTCCAGCCCTACTTTTCCTACTTCCTGAATGTAAACTTCAGCTTATCTTCCTTAAAACTCAGAGTCTGAGTTGAGGTTAAAACCTTCAGTGCATTCTTAGGTTCTGTGACCATGACATTTTGTCTTGTTCCAATGCCCAATCTTTCTCCCTCCATTTCATTATTATCTTGTATGAATTTTAAGGTGAGTGGTTTTTTTCGTTTTCAATTCAAAGCTCAGTTTTAAAGGTTTCCATTTTTCAGGCTTCCTCTCAACCCGGTGACTCATCCAAGTCTATTAACTAGCTTTTGGCTGGAGTGCTTGTCCTTCCTCTAGAGCTCCCGAGGAGCAGCTGCTCCAAAGGTTCTGTACTGATGATAAATCTGACCAGAAAGCAGCCAACGGTGTTTCCATTCCCCTTCTCTTTCATGCTATGAATTCAGATAAAAATGGGATTGATAAATAGAACTTCTCCTGGCAAGTATGACTAAATCTTGTGCAAGAGACACGAGGGTCAGTGGCATCCACAAACGTCCCCGTGTCCAACAGATGTTGTTTGGCTGCCGTTCGGGGTCCCTCGAGAATTGTTGACTGGTGTTCTGTGATTTGCAGATGTCTCCTTTTCCATTTTCCCCTCTCCCATTGGGGACTGATGAAGAATCACATTCATTTCAGAGGCCCACTTAATTGTCAGGTAACATGCTGTTTCTCGGCTTACATCTGAGAGCGTGAGAAGCTGTCCCCACACAGCCAGATGGCAGCTGGGACCATTCACAGCGAGAGTGGGCATGTGAAGCGCTGAGTCACTTAGGGGATCACTTTAGTGTTTCCCCGTTTTGTTTCTTTCAACTTTTCCCTTTCCCAGTTTCCAGAATTTGCTTGTTTTCCCCTTCTCCAAATCCCTCACCCCACCCAGCGTTCAGCTCTACCCTCCCTCCCTGCCCATTCGGACCTGGAGCGCAGCTGCATTTCCTAACTGTTTGCACGGGGGAATCTCGGCAGTAGCTTCCTCCCCAAGGGCCACGGAAAACATCTGGGCACATTGTCTGCAAATCACAAAAGGAGGATTTTAGTAAAACGTTCACAGAATGGGCAATTTGAAGGTTGTGTAGTGGCAGCTAAGGCAAGTGGGCTTCTTAATTTGGTGTTGAGACACCTTCTTCATTCCTTTCTCGTTAACGATAAAATTGTAATCTTTTTTGAAGAGACATTTTTCTTAGAAATTACTGATGTGACCACTATTTAAAGAAAATTAATTTTGATGTTAGTTCAGAAGCAACTCTTTTAAAGGGTTAGCAGATGAGGGTTTAATAAAGAATGAGGATAATTGGGTATCTGGTTCTGATGCTGGAAAAGATGGGTATGGCCTGTGAGGACAGAAAGCAAGGACAGGGATGACTTGATAGAAACTTTGTGTGTGCAAGTTTCTAAGATGCTCGAGTCTCTAGATGGTACATAATAAGCAAAATAAAATGCAAAGTTCTATTGTTAACTATTACTCAGACTCTAAGGGCATTTCTAAGAAATGTTTTCTTCAATTGGCCTTTGGTTTTTTTTTTTTTTAAAGTAAAATTGAGATCTTGGCTAATGGCATGTTTTATATTAGTTTCTAATTCCGATATCAGTAAGAAAGGATCGATTATCCAGTGACCCCAGCAGTTTATAGTGAGACAAGACGAAAGTCTCAGAACTTACTGAGCGGCAGCCCATCGCACTGGGGAAATCCACCTTGTAGTTCCCTACGTTTGTCAAGCCGAGGGTGTAGGGACTGCATCCGTGATAGGCTCCTCTGAGGAGAGAAATGCGAGAAGGAGGTCAAGTTTATTTCACTTTGCTCTTTTCCTTGCTTCAAATGAAAAAAAAAAAATACAAAAGACATGGGAGGAACTGGAACAATGCAAACATTCGAATCTGACGCCTTTTAAGACTCCATCGAGGAATCGCGCTTCCGCCATCTTTCCAGCTTCAGTCGGACAGGCGCGGAGAGTCTTTCGGAAGGATCGCCGCGATGGCCGCCCAGGGAGAGCCGCAAGTCCAGTTCAAGCTCGTCCTGGTGGGCGACGGCGGCACCGGGAAGACGACGTTCGTGAAGCGCCACTTGACGGGCGAGTTCGAGAAGAAGTATGTAGCCACCCTGGGCGTGGAGGTGCACCCGCTCGTCTTCCATACCAACAGAGGACCCATCAAGTTCAACGTGTGGGACACAGCCGGCCAGGAGAAGTTCGGGGGCCTGCGCGATGGCTACTACATCCAAGCCCAGTGTGCCATTATAATGTTTGATGTAACATCAAGAGTTACTTACAAGAATGTACCTAACTGGCATAGAGATCTGGTACGTGTGTGTGAAAACATCCCCATTGTATTGTGTGGCAACAAAGTGGATATTAAGGACAGAAAAGTGAAGGCAAAATCTATTGTCTTCCACCGA